GTCCTTTCCATCTCCTTTTGTCTGCTGATGCAGCTACAAGATAGGCAACTCATCATTTATACTAACATACTTCGAAGGGAGTTATGATCTGTCAAAAACAAGATCTCAGAAAAAAATTGTTTTTATTTTCAACACACATCTTACTACCCGTTCGTGATGTGAATAGGGGTTCAATGTGCGCTGTATTGCAGAAGGTTTGCTGCTTCTGATAGTCTTTACTGCATTCGGGAATATATATTTCTTAGAAAGTTATAGCACGTCAAAGTGAGAATTTGCAAAACGGCCATTAATTTTGGCATCAACTAAATACTATGCATGCGACTGCAAAGCTATTACTAGCACCCGTTTTCTTTCAACAGTAATAAATGGAAGAAGTTGTAAGAGTTGCTGGAACTCTGCTAATTTGATAGCAAATTCGGCGTGAGTTTCACTTTCTCCTGCTTCCACAACAAACAAGTTCTGTTCACCGAGTGCATGTAGTCTAGAACTGAAAGTCCACACATCTGTAACACTTCAGCACCTCTGCTTCCGTTACGCTTTTCAACCAAATGTCCTCCATTTATCAAGTAGTAGTAATGTTGCGGTCGTAGCATGGAGGAGCTGGGCAGTTGAAGCGTTAGTAAATTACGACGAAGTGTGCCTCTGGGCCTAATTTATTTGCCACATAGACGAAACCTAGCGCCTACTCGTCGCACATTCTCACCGATCATCAGGCGATTTCTCAACGTTACACAAAGTTCAGCAATTTGTTAAACGGGGTTCATAACAACAATCGGATGACTACGAGCATTTTGAGGGCACACCTCGACCAGCGCCGAAAACATTGCGACGAAAAAGTGCTTCATGAGCTTACTTTTCTTCTACTTGCCGCCATTTGGTCCGCACACCTTCTTACGTAAAATGCACTTGTACATCTTGAGCAGAATCAACGATGTCCCTCTTTCCCACACATCTCACACTCTTTGATGTTGACATGCGATACTATTTTTTCCAAATATTTCTGTCTTTCAGCTTTACTTTTAAATAACTTTTTATGTGTTCTTGTCTCTTTCTACTCCAATTTCCAGCTTAATAATGACGTGAAGAGTAAGCATTTCCCCCAACCAAAATAACCATCGAAACACTTTTTTTATGTCTTCACAAACGTAGTCTCTTGCTTCAAACCCTACATGTCATCTACTTTACATAAAAGTGCTTTTTTAATTGTCAGAGTCAATGCCATTAACTTCTTGATCCAAGCCAAAGCGCAAAATTGGTTATGAGTAAAGTCAAGGACGACAAAGAGCACGTGATTTGGGAAGTGGGTGAGAAATGTGACTTAGCAAGCTTGTTAGATGAAATGTTAGAGCAGAGTATGATGCAAATCCACGGCTTTACCTTGAAATCCTCCATCTTTATGTATACAACAAAGAAGTGTCTAGGCTTTGTGGATTCTATAAGACAAAAGTCTAAAAATACCCTTTCGATAATGCCACTGAGCACATAGCCGTATCTATTCCGGTTTCACGGAATCAACTTTTTGAAGCCATTACTGCCTTTATATATCCCGTCAAGTTTTTCACCGCCACCCACACTTTGGTGATGAGGGCGCCATAATCACGCATAGATGATAAATTATACATTAGTTCTTTCTTTTATCTTTAAAGAATACTTAGCCACGATAATTTTTAAGAGCAATTCTTTTGGAAATATTCCAATTTTTCTCCCAAATTACGAAAGAGTTTGCACGCAAAGTTGATTGGGACAAATTACATGTTCTACTTTCAGATTTGTTTCCAAATCTAATTTTATACTTTATAAGATCTCTGTACTGTAAATTTACGATGAGTCACTTAAATTATTTGTTCTGCTCACATCATAGCTTACTTTTTGGCGCAGAATCATGCAGTACGTGGCGCTACATAGTTGTTTATCTCTATGAAGCAGGTTCTGCTTTGCTTCTAACAATTAACCCCGGGCCTTTCATTCCACCTTTTGTCAAGCTCGTGCCGTCAACAAACGATTAGAGGATAGCCCATCGGAATTGGCTTTGGAACGCAGCATGCAATGCTGTGGAAGTCGTTCCTTTTCCGTGGTGCTCATCACGTAACTCGATTTGCTCAGTGTGGGTGATTTGTGATGCAGAGACGAGCAATGAGGCAACTCTAGTAACTGAATTCTACGCAGAGAAAGTCATCTGCAAGCTCCACTTGCCTTCATTCTGTGACGTACATCATCAAGTTCTTGGTCTGAACAAATCTGCTCAACGACTGCTCTTTAGTGAGTCGCGCGACCACTTGCGGGTGCGCCCGTTTAGAATGAGCTACGGCGAAATCGCAATTTGCAGATTTCCATTCGTTCACCGGCGCGCAAATCTTTGCAAAGAACTCGAGTCCCCCCTCCCAAATAATCAGTTTTCGTATTTATTTTCATCATGTCATACTGCTCTTTGCTATTCCTTAACTGTTTCCAGACAACCCTTTCACATTCGAAACCAACATTTGATTTATGCGAAAAATGCTAACCCATTGGCGATGACGCGATTTTCGCAATTTCTTTGACATAGACTTTTGCTATTTCTTGTCATCATAGCTTTTTTCAAGTGATACTGATGTTAAGAAAAAACAAAAGCTTGTAGAGTTTTTATTGATTAGATGGTCTACAAGAGTATAAAAGTTGAGGATAAGAACGATACTTTCTGTGAAGTTACACCATCTCATCACCATTTCATCATAGGTTCAGTCACCTTGAAGAATGCCTAGCTTAGCTCTTCCGAGCTTCTAAGATTAAATGTTGCCACCTTTCACACAAAAGGAGAAAATCCTCAACTAAATCACTTCTTCGACTGCACATGAAACTTGGTTCGCTATCTGAGAACAGACTTGCCCTATCCTTCCACTTCTCGGCTGCAGAGGGCGGGGTTATGCCAAAAGACCTTATGATTTGTTTATGTCTAGCATTATTTGGTATCATACAACAAGGTGCACATTCAGCGACAACAGCTGGAATAGACTAGAAGAGAATCGCACCTTAGTCTAGAATCCGAAATGATCAAGAATTTGAGAGCTAGACTGCTTTTATAATAGGAGACGCGTTCATTTATTCAACAGAAACAGAAGTAAACAAAAATCGAAAATGCAAATGGTTCGACTCATCAGGCACAAAGTCGACTTAAATAGTTTGAACAGGCACCGTATGCTACTGTAGACGCTAATCTCAAATACCTGAAAGCATAGATGCAAGTTGAAAAATTTTTCAAGTTGGACCTTTTGCGCAAATTCCTCGCGAGGTGGACTCATTTCCCTTCTCACTGCAGTAATTCTAGCTTGTCGTTATAATGGCATTTTTTCACATTTTTGTACTTCGTTGCAAACTTTTGTAAGAACTTGCATTTGGATTTCCCTTGTTTCACTCATTTACTTATTTACAAAAAACACTTGTTGTGAGAATATCTCTCAAATCATTGCATTGCTTTATGAGCATATAACTTCAAAGACAAACTTTTATAAGAAACTTTTATAAGAACTTGCATTTGGATTTCTCTTGTTTCACCCATTTACTTATTTACAAAAAACACTTGTTGTGAGAATATCTCTTGCTCTAAATTACTGCATTGCTTTATGAGCATATAACTTCAAAGACGAGATAGGACAACTGTTTATCTATCTGGTTATTTGTTTATTTATCAACTGCTTCAACCGATGCGCCTGACGAACTTAGTAAATTTGAATGACTGGAAAATCGAAATGAATTAATATTGAACTGTATGGGATAGAAAGACCAAAAACTGTACATCCTTGGACCTTCATTTTGAATTTTTGTGCGAGTTCGAAATAGAAAAGCATTTAGATAAAGAACGATGAAATCCACTTCTTCAAGCCCATCAGCTTTGGGTAAGACTTAAAATAGCCGAAATACGATCTAGATGAGATACTGGATACCACCGGCTGCTCCGTGCTAAACGTTTAGCCGCTTTGTAGGGCATGCTTGGAATTTTCACATGTTGGCATTATGGGAGCTGGAATTATTCAGCGTCTTTTTGTGAACGCAATCTTAGTTTCTGACAAAGCAGTTTGCTGAGATTATATTCATTGTTCTCAACCAAAAAGCGCTACGTTATTCTAACCTTTTGTTCTATGTTTTCGCACCAACATTCTGCCCGTGTTTGTGTCTTCAGGTTGTGTCGATTTTCTCAGTTCTTCGACATTGTTTTATGAATCGCGACAAAAGCAGCGAACTGCTCGCCACTCATACTTTGATCTCAGCACGAGGATTTGATTACATGCTGCTCGCATGCCGAAAGCACTACATCGCCCTTCGTTCCATAAACAAAGCAATCTCGGGGCTCCGGCTGCCACCAAATGAAACACATCAGAGTGCAGATGAGAGCTGCGGCCACCAATCTCCGGCAGCGTGCAATTATGAAACCAGAAATGAAGCAGACATGGATATTTTCTTTCCACACTCAGCACCGTGCTCGCCTCCCTCCTCCAAGCTTTGTATGAGAGTTGCGTATTTTCGTGGCTGGCCTATCTTCGACGCCTAATCGAAGGCGCAAGCCGAGCGAGGGAGGATGCGTGCTTTTGCATATGCACTGTTTTTGTACTTGAAGGCCATACAAGGTACAATCCTTCGGGACCTTCCGCAATTCACACTTTCTCAATCCCCGTTTAGCCAATTACTGCGTTCCTTCCTCTCCTGAATTGTACCACCTTACATTCATCATCTACAAGCGCATCTCGACACAAAAGAAAGCGGGCGTGACACTTTGCTCTTGCTTTAAATACGTTTAGGTCTAGCGGACCATGTTTTGGTCGAACTGACTGCATCTTACTGAGTCACTTTTTATGCACATATTCCTTTATAAGCGCTTTATCAATTACTCAACAATTCAATCTCCAAAACGAGACGTAGCTTCTCGGAACTTATCACTCTATTCAGACACCGCTTTAGTGGAATCTCTCGTATTTGTTGATGAATGAACGAAACCACAGTATGCTTCCGATATTTGTTTGTTCCAGGTCTCGCGGCCATTTTCTCTGCATTCATTGCATGCTCTTTTCGAGGGGATCTTTGCCACAATGGAATTAGAGTCAAGTCATGTCTACACAGAGCAAGACTTTCAGCCGCCGGTAAGTTTTTACCTGCTTTGTTGAGCGCTACGTCACGTCAGATTTGATTTGCACAGAAGATTTCCTCAAGACGTCTGCATGGACTTAATTGCAGCGCGCTTCATTATGAACATATTCATTTGTTCCAACAAGTTTTCTGGCTTTGCAAAGCAGTTCTTAAAAAACTCTTTTTTTAGGATCAAAGGCAGCACTGGCCTACATGGGCTATAATTCTCGTTGTGGTTTGCGTATTTCTAACCGTCTTTGCATTCTTATTGGGAAACTGCATCACAAAACGAGCTACGCCTTTGAGGTAAAGTTAAGTACTTCTTTGCAGCACTATCTCGACACTCCAGACTTTTTGTAAATTATTTGCAATTGTGTGTGTATTTCCGTCCTTGCGTGAGCACTCAAAAGAGCAATAATAAGAGGCAGTCTCGTTGTGCGATACTTTCAAAAGAATATATTGATATTAAAAAAGACGTTGGGAATTAGCTCGCCTATTTTGGCGAAGGTTCAAAAGAAGGGGGGGGGAGAGCTGACAGCAAAAACTTGTGCGAGCGAGAGAGGGAGGAATTTACGAGCCCCTAGCTTTTGGGAAAAGGCGGATTGCAATGGAATTTTTCTCGTCGCGACGTATTTACCTTGACAAAATCGTCGCTCTTTCGTGACTTTTTTTGAAGTATTCCTTAAGAAGATAAAAGAGTAAATCACCGTACTAACCAATTAGCGCTTAAGAATTTATTCCAAAATTTCGGAATTGCTTTCGCTACGCTGTTGCGACAGATACGCATCGCGACAAAAACATCGCAGTGCGATATGTTTCATAGCATTGCAAACGCAAATAACTTTGGATTTTTGAAAAAATTGCAAATAATTTTCTTTTTTTTGTTACCGCAGTTGATAACAAAATCTCTTTAGCCTGCTCATATCGTGATTGTCCGCACTCATTAACACAACCGAGAAATTTTACAATACTAAATCATTTCTTTAATCCCTGAGGGACGAGATCATCTGACCTAATCTAGCTTCAAAAAAAATTTAAGCAACTTCATGAAAATTTGAGTCATATTTAGCATGGAAATGCTATAACGGTTCACATATTGGTATGTAACTTATATCTTTTCATGAACTCTACTCTTTAGGTTCAAAGGTGGCGCAACGGCTAAGGCGGCAAACGTGCGTGCCGAGCGTAGAATGTGGGGAGCGGGATTTTCCGGAGGAATGTGGGCAGCTGCCTAATAAAATTGTCTGTGCACACGATTTTTCCTTAAGTTCTCAATCCAAATACAGTGGTCTCATACCAACCTCACCATTGATCGCTTCATCTCACGATGAATCGCTTCCTTCATATGGATATCATTATCTAAAGTGTGCTTAGAAAATCTTTCGTAGATCATTGCGCTGTCTAACTTAAAGCTGTATTCCACCGGATGATAGTTGATTTTACGGGTTGATTTATACTTGTTCCATTTATATGCATTTCATATTTTGAATTTGTTCAAATAAATTTTATATGATGATCTATCGTGCAGTCAACATAACTGAATCTGTATGTCTGTTGTCGTTTTTGAGGAGTGGGAGGGAGAAGAAGACATGGCTGAAAATCATGTTTTGTGAATGGAATCGGAAGATTAACCTCTTCAACTCAGAACTCCTGAACAGAATCTGCAGAGCCGGGATAAAGTACGTACTTTTGCAAACAGCGCCCTAGGGCAATAACTTCTGCAGCTGAACGAATACGCCCTTAACTGAAATTGAGAGCCTCCTTCGTATAAGAGACCTAATCTTCGAAAAAAAATCCTCAATAAAATCTTTGCTGCAGTAGCAGAAAGGCCTATCCTTTTCACTCACGGGAAAGCGAAGCGATTTAGGATTCAGAAGGTTATTCAAGGCTGCAAGCTATTGTCGATGTGGCAAACAAACAAGCTTAGAAACACCTTGTACCAAACAGAATACGTGAATGGCAGTGGTTGGAGTTTAGCCATTTTTAAAAACCCGTAAACAAAAGCTAGGAGTCGGATTTATGAAAAGAGTTACGGAGGCAATTTTCGGAATGTGATGAGATTTTGGTGAAGAATAGCTAACAAAGTAAGTAAGTATGTAGTATGTAGTTGTAAGTATGCAATCAGTAGAAATTGCATGTTGTTGGTACGATCGGAAGCCAAGTTCGTTTTGTTCGTGCAATAACCTTTTGCTCTGATTCACACTTAATAGCAGTGCAGTAAGAAAGCGATGAGTCGTTCGTGTTCAGGTGGTCAACCAACATGCATATTAATTTTCTAACGCAAAAGCTGTCAGTGCACGTTTTCATAAAGTATCTTTAGAGTTTGCTTTTTTGCAGTGCTCCCAGAGCGTTTCTGGGCACCCTAAAGGTTACAGGACACTATCTTTTGCTTCATTACCGTACAAGTTCTCACATCGCAATAAAACACTTCGAAATGAGGAATTGACCACGTGTTTGAAACGCTGCTTTAAGGTGCTGCTAGGATTGATTTGAGGCTTGATTTTTATAATCTCCAAATCCATAGACTGCTACAACCATTTGTTTTAGTGTTACCTCCTCATTATAATGTTATCTCCGTCAGTTTCAGCTTAGATCTTTTATTATTGGAGGACATCTTGTTTATGGGAAGTGAGCGAAATACAAGCGTTACCGTCTTATGGATGTGAAACAATCATGCGTACAGAGAAGATTCTTATATGCCTATTTTAATATGTTTGACAGGTACAGAACCAACTATGTACTTTATAATAGCGCATTTGTATCTATTGTTCCCTCAGAAATTAAGTATATTTGCTAGTAGCAGTAAATCACAAATTGAAACGTATCAGCTTTTGAAGATCATTTTGCCAAGTATGTTGCTAAGTATGCACAAGAGCTTCGATTACCTGTTCTTTAATTTTGAGCAACAGTGAAAATTCTGGATTTTGGTCAAAATCGTGGACAAAAGAGTTGCCATCGTCTTCACTAAGCTCTGCTTCAGCCTCTGCCTCTTCTTCATATTGTTTCCAAAGAGTGCCACTGAATCCGCGCTTATACTCGCATAGGGAATGGCTATAAATAATTTTGTTCCTCATTCCATATTCAAATTAGTCAACATAAGAGCACAACGAGTGCATGTCTTCGTATATGCATCAATTACTCTCTTTAGCGAATAGTAAATTTGACAGCATTTCATCAGGGCATCGGATAATTACACGTATATATGTCTATTTTTTCCCTCTCTGACCTAGAACCAGCAATAGAGCAGAATTATAGCAATTGAAAACCCGAATGTCTTCATATGCGAGACGCGATCACGATTATGAATCAACTGCTGGCTTCTTCGCATGCTCAGGGTAGGAGAAAAAGGAAAACAATAATGTGAAAGCTCGTCTGCAATTTTTCCTCAAGCTCTTTCCACTTATAACTCCATCTCAGGCAATTGTTAGTAACTAGTCAGTAAAAATAATCATAATAGCTTGTGAAGGAGTAACCCAGCTCAGAGTCAACTGGGGTCCCAGATTTCCCCATGAACACCGTATAGTGTTCACTTGAATACTCAATTTACTGCCAAGAAGTCACTCCGTTAGGCTGCGTTCATACTGATTCCCTTGTTCTGGAACTGTTCCCGCACAGTTCCCGCACAGTTCCCGCACAGTTCCCGCACAGTTCCCGCACAGTGCGAGAACTGTGCGGGAACAGTTCCAGAACAAGGGAATCAGTATGAACGCAGCCTTAGCTGTCTCGTCGTAATAGAGGATGCGATTGGCACTCACACTTAAAGTGGGAGGCAAAAAAGCAGTTTCTTGTCAACTCTAATCAGGTCGCAAAAAGGAAAGATCTCATTTGTAGTGGTTTGTATTAGTAGAATATACAAATAAAGAAAGAATCAATGTATACAGTTTCGAAACTTATGCGAAGAAGGGAAGATTATGAACTTTTTATCAGGAGTCGTTTAAGCTGTTTCCCAAGCGCGTAGTAGCCTAGCTTCAAAAGAAAACTTAACATTATCTTCACCTAAGTTTAATATTTCTTAATTTTCTGTTAAATGACATCGGACCTACACGCCAAATTTTGTGACTTGCCAAAGCATACGATGCAAATATAATCCTGCTGACCACGGTGAGCACAAAAATTGTGCCTCAAATATTTAAAATCATCAAATTTGTGCTTAGCAATAGGCAACCTTAATTGTATTTATGGAAAACATAACTTTTTTCTTTGACCGCTAATCCCACAAATCTACGATTGTTTTTTATTCACAATTATCCACCCCAGGAAAGCACCATTCTTGTCGCACCTTGATATTATTACTAGCTACTGTATTTCATGCTTTGTATGAGCAAAAAGTTTTTGTTTGTTGAGAGCAGTAGAGGCAGAGGTTTTTTGTTGCAGAGAAGGGAATTGAGGTATGATGTCGTGCTTCAACTATTTTCGGAGCTTTTCCCGAATATTTGCGGTATAGGGTCTCGAAAATTTTTAATTCTCGGACGTGTTTCTAGGAACACTCCCCTTCAGGCAAAAAATTCCCTGTCGCGCCCTCCAGTCCCCCTCCCCTTCTTCGGGAAAATTCTCCCTGAACTTTGAAATCTAAATATGTAAAATCCGATCATTACTAAAATTGATTTAGGAAGGTAAATTAGCGATGGCCTCTGCAAAATAAAGATTCTAAAATCTCCGTTACGACCGCGGTGTAGAAGAAGTTCCGGCTTATATCAGAGAAGCCACGTTGAATGATGCCTTATTGTTAGTCGCTTACCGACTGATGTTCTAGAAGATTTATTAAACCGAATTTGAAGTTTGCTCACTTCAAAAGGTAATTTGTGAACTGAACCCTCATTGAAAAAACACTCGAAAATTCAGCTGTTGAAAAGAAAAACATCCGTCTCAAACATAATTTGAAGCGCTTACCTAAGCAATCTATAGGATCTGCGAATAGCCGGAGCGGCACGAACTTTTAACTATGCTGACACTATTAGGATACGTTTCCAGGTGCTTACATGTAATGTAACTCGCTATTTTTGTTAGAGTGTTCCCTTTCGAGAGATTTGAAGATAATGTACTGACAGCAATGTTACAATACTTCAATTGCATGGGCCCATCGGTCTAACTTTTCTGCGCATGGCCTGAAACCAGAATGAATTGTAGTGGGGAAGAGATTCCCTGAATGTTTTGCAAAAGTTAGAACTTCTTTGTTCGCTGCACAAATTGATGGTGCGAAGATATTGTAGATTTTCCTTCCAGAAACACTTTGTTTTTGATGCGCAGGTCGGCCAGACTCTGACCGCGAATAAGATCAGTGGACGCTAAATAGTTCTACCTTTCCACAAATACATACAAAACATTTAGTCACCACGTCCTTCCAACAAAAGATGCTAATTACACTTTGTATTACATTTTTGCGAACTGTTTTTCTTCATAATCTTGCAGGCAGCTTGATAGAGTAGCAGTGATAACAACTGTAAGCTACGAAGTTCCCGAAGGAGCTGGTATTGTCACGCAAGCAGAATCGTAGTCAAGGTCTAGCTTTTTAGAACAAACTCGCGAATTATCAAATAAATCGGTTGAAGAGCACACTATTGTTGAAGGTGGTGTAACGAACAAACAACAAACGTATCCAAGTAAATTGGAAACCACCATCACTCACCGTCGCCCTGGTTATGTTGAAAGTAGCCAACTTTTCCGAACTGCTGAAGTATCACTGTGTGAATTCATTAATCAACTGTTTCCTGATACGCTACCCAGTAGCGAGACAATAAAGACAATAATTTACTGGAATGTTTATCCTGTGCAGGATTGGAATGTACAATGTAATTACAATCTTTTACGAAGACGAGGATCCATCATCTTTCCGTTGCTTCTCTTCTTCACTACTTGAACCTGATTTGTGGTGAGGAAATATCTGTAAAACTTTATATGAGCAACTAAAACACGTGGCTGATATTTATTACCTTTCTGTTGAGATCAGGGCGAATATTTACTTCTCTCTCCAGCCAGTCAAACAGTCGAGGCATCAGATTCCCGTTTGGCATTTCCTAAACAATTTCATGTCGCAGCGAAATCGCAAGGCCCAGGCATACTACTCCTAAGTTTGAGGCGATTTATATGATCCATGGAGCGCGGAAACTTTCTTTACAATATCACAACGCTGATCCGCATCGAAGTCGACGGCCAACAATTCACCGACTACCCGCGAAAACAGAACAATTCAAGAAAGTGGTGAGTATTCACTCAATTTTGGAGTTCGAGTTTTCCGCCACGGATAACAGACACTGCTACTGCGAGAATTACACCGTGAACGGGTTAAAGGCCGGTCCACTCTAGGTTGAGGGTTATGAGATTGCGAAGGTGCTTTCCTGACCTTAACGTAAAGCCTTATTTTATTTGAGTGATATTTTGTAGTAAGTAACGACATTGGTGAATCCTGTCATTAAAACTGTGCAAATTTTAGTGGCAAGAAATTCCTAACATCGGAAGAGCGCACAGTAGATACCGAAAGCAGATTTAGAACCAGCGCTTCAAGATCCATTTTGTTGCAGGATTGAATTTCAAGCGGCCATGGTCATCAAGTATTCTTCCCTTGTAAGTATTACTGCAATTCAAGCAACTTTGGCATGAGTGTATTTGATCGGAAATTATTAGTATCAATTCGATCATTAGCGAATTCGTTCTCAGGCTGCCACATCAGTTGCACCAAATTTAGCATGATTTGGCTTAGCATTGTAATTTGAGCAATTTTAGCAATGGTGAATTTGATCAAGAATTATGATATCAATTCGATAATTGGTGGATTCGATCTTACAAGGAAAAGATCCCAACTTAAGGTGACGAATTGGAATGAACCGCATACCATTAGATGCGTCTTGATGAGCTGATTCCAAATCTACCTTCCATATCTGCGACACCGTTATCTGGAAAAAGTTACAAAAGGTTAAATATGTGAAGTAATTGGGGTTTTAATGTGATAAGATGTTTTAATTTTATGTGAGCATGATTTGCTTGAAAATCCATCTTGGAAGTGCATGAGTAGCATGATATTGAGTGTACTGATTTCACTTTTATTTTATTTTTGTTTCTTTTGAATGCTCACATTCGAAACAAACACAAGTAAGTGTTTTTAAACAGCTAAAAAGCAACTAAAGCTCTTTGGTAAAAGCTATGAGCAATGAAAAGTCTAAATTTGGCAAATATACAGCGCCACTCGAAAATTAGTTGTTCAAAAACACTTATTTGTTTTTTTTTAGAATGTGAGCATTCCTTGAAATCAGTACACTCAATATCATGCTAGTCATACACTTTCAAGTTGGATTTTGAAGCACATTATGCATTGGAACCCCAACAACTTCACATTTTCAACCGCTCACAACTTTTTGCGAATAACGGTGTCGCAGATATGGAAGGTAGATTTGGAATCAGTTCATCAAGGCGCATCTAATGATATGCGGTTCATTCCAAATCGCCACCTTAAGTTGGGATCGTTCCCTTGTTAGACAGGCAAATCAGTTCTAACAATTTTAGCATAAATTGACTGATACTGTAATCCAAACAATTTTAGCATTACTAAATTCAAACACATTAGTAGATCATCGTCAACTCTGCAACTAAATCAAGTCTGACAAGAGAATTGTGAGAACTTGGTCCAGCGAATACAAATAAAGCAAAGCATAGTATCGCACGCTTCAGATCGCTGATCCGAATTACATGTTTAGTATTTGCTCAGCGACTATCTGGAAAATGTTACGAGCGTTTAGAAGTGCGGAAGTGTCAAGCATTGTACATGTTAAACGAAAAACGTTACAGAAACACTTATTTGGATTTCTAGTGTATGTGTTTCTTTCAGTATTCGTAAGCGTAAACTTTAACTTACTGGAATTTCAATATGTTCTCATCTTCAAACGCTCCTAACTCCTTCCAGATAGTTGCCTAGCAGATGCGCTTCAAGTGGAAAGCTATATATTGCTTCTGACCAGACTAAGTTGTGGCCATTCCTTTGTGAGAGAAACTCACCTCAAGATCTGGATTTCTCAGCTCATCAAAAAATGGATGAGCCAAAGCCTCGATAGCATGACACCGCGTAGAAGGATCGTAACGCAGAACATCATTCAACAGTTTTACAGCTGATTGAAGGCTTCTTCCTTTGAAGAGCTGCAAAACGAAGAGTCCAAAAAGTGTTCTTTGGTATTGGGAGTTGGAGCATCCACGCCATTATGGATCATTATTGGTATGTCTACGCTCATAACACGCAGTATGGACATGCACTCACTTTCTCCCATGGGATGCGTTTGAGATCGGGAAACTTAAACTCCTTGTAATTCTGATTCATGGCGAATATCTCTTCCTTTGTAGGAGATCCCAGGACCTAAAACATGACGGAACTTGAACATGCTTTAGCTTTGAACTCTTAGCTACTGTCAGGCACTGTAGTGTTTACTGAGCTCAAATGGGAGAGAAGGCCAGATATGGGCAAATTAATCGTCCTCAAAAGCCCCGCAACGTTATAGAGTTCCAACGAATATTAGAGCAAGAAATTTTTAAGAATATTTGACGAAAGTCATGTTTGTAATGGCGTTGTTGAAGACTAGTAAAGTCTATATACATTTAGACATGCAGGGAGTCATCACTATAACACTAATAACTTGCCTGAATCGTCCGTGTTTTATTCTCATTTTATACTTCAATGGGTATGCAAAAAAATTTATTTTTTTTTGTAAAATACTTACCTTCATAATTTCTACTAACTGGTCTACCGCCGAATCTCCTGGAAATAGTGGCTTCCCCAGTAGTAACTCAGCCATTACGGTCCCGGCTGACCAAACATCTAAATTATATAGCTATGAATAACAAAATATGTGGTTAAGGCTGGCGCTTTCGTAGACGTGTGTTGATAAAATGCGTACTTACCTATTTTCGTGGTATATGAAACAGCACCAAAGATAAGTTCGGGAGCTCGATAGTACCTGAAATTATAGTCAAACATTAGTAAATAGGCAGATTATGGGAACCTTAAATCTACTACAGAGAGATGATAAAATGCATCCACTAGTAGCATACCATGATATGTTTTATGAGCGAAATTACTTGCTAAGCCTCCCGAAACGGTGCAGAACCGTGGAAGGTAATTTTGCCATGAATGGTAATAGGTGAATGGTAACTTTACTTTACTTTCTACTTGATCATAGAAATCTAAGATAGGAAGGTTTGAATCTGGAAAGTGAAAGTTTTGCTTTTTTCAATGATCGTTTGCTGGGCTCACGAATTCGATATACAAGACGAAAAAGTGGGAAGCGGTGCTGCATCTCATGCATCCTAGATCTTATTTTAGTCTTTTCTGTAATATTTGGCATCCATCAAACTTGCTGGAAAAGGCTGACATCTTCAGAGTGGCCTAATAATAGAAGCACAAAAACACACGGGAAGCATTCAGCTATGTAGCTGGATGAAAGAGACTGAGAGAGAGAGAGAGAGAGAGAGAGAGAGAGAGAGAAATCCTCGGCGTTTTCCGCATTTCGTTGCTTCTTGTTTTTTTTTTTGATTGTCAAAAGTTAACGGCCCACTTTTTTGAACTTGCATTTCTTCATGCATATTCGCTATGCTGCAAAAAAGCGACGATGACAAGAATGACAGGATTAGCAAAGGACCTACAGTTCTGCATTCTCTCACAGTTTGTAAGTTTACCCCTCTTTTCAACTATCCATAGGTTCTCCAAATGGGTCTCATACCTTCTGCATTGCATTTTATGCATATTGAGCCTTCAGGAATCCACATAAAGAAGAATTGGTTAGAGATGAAAATACTTCAACTGCATATGGGAAATGACAGATTCCTGCGCGGAATACATTACACAACAAATTTGCTTGAATCAAAAGGGCTAGGCGTCTGGCAATTAGGAGTTCTGTGTATTTTCGCATAGCTTTAGATCAGCATAAAAGATAAAAGCAGTCCGTTTTCCATTCCTCTTCGAGTTCTAATACATTTTAAGTGCAAACAGCTGATGGCCTCAGACTCTCTGTAACAGAACCTGAGAAATTGGGCTAGCTTTTCATAATCCGCGATAGACCAATGACGAAATAGCATATCAGAGGGATTCAAGGTGCTGTTATGCACAGAACAATAAAATTTTGTTGATGAGCATTGTGGAAACAAGAAAGACTTTTACCTCGAACAGATGTAAGAAACATTTGTGTCATCCTTGTTCATAACTTTGGCAGAGCCAAAATCGCAGATCCGAAGTGTGCCTCGTTCTGGATTCACGAGCAAATTGTGCGGTTTGATGTCACGATGGCAAATATTCAGACTGCTCATGAAAGCGAGTCCACGAAAGAGTTGAAACATGTACAGCTGAAGAGACGTGATTTAGCTGAGAAGAAAATAAGACCTTTTGAGCAGTGGTAGACCGAGGGTGGGAGGGTTCTATGCTTCGCGAAATCTTTGAAAATTTAGCAAATTTAGCAAGAATAACATATAACGCAATAGAACTGCGCAAGTGATTTCTTTTCACTTGTAAATAATCAAAATTACTCCAGACCTTTTTTTTCAATCCACTTAGTTTTTTTGAGAACTCACAGGCCCACAAAAATTTCAAGAATTTTTTTTGAAAAGATACTCCTTTATTCGAAAAAAAAAACAGTTATGTCGCCCCTCGAAAAAAATTTCTCGGTCCGCCTGCCTTCTAGTTCGAACCGCTCACCTTAACCGCAAACAGATCGAGCACATGCCCTGTACTTGCGCAGGTTTTTATTACTTGATGAAGAGTTTTTGGGAAGAACTCCAATACCAGATAGAGGTATTCTTCATTCTAAAGCATGTATTTATAATTTATCGTAAACACCGCGAATCAATCACCCTTGCATTCTCGGCTGCAAAGTAGTAGTACATCAGTCTGACGATGTTCGGATGTTCAAGCCGCCTCATTATTTGGAGTTCACGGTTCTGGAAGCAGTTGGACCAACCCAGTGAAAGAATGATTAGCATTTTTCTCGGCTGAACTCACCTTGAAACGTTTGTCTTGGTAAACCTTTTTGATAGCGACATCTTCATTGGTATCATAGAGTTTTGCAGAATAGACCATACCAAAGCTTCCTGAGCCAATCACCTAGAAGATCTACCTCTTTTGCCATTAGGTCTAGATTAATTTATCACTTCGAAGGGAAAAATCTTTGATTTTGAAGGATTTTCTCCTTTTCCAAATTATAATTGATTGTACCTTGATATATTCACCTCACACATGAAAAATCCAAATGTTATTTTTGACATTTTGGCTTCCTTTATTGCTAAGCTTGAACCTCCAATATGCTTTCTCATTAGCACTGATGCCCTTCAGCAATTCGTGAAAAATCCAACGAAAAATAAAAGAAAGAGGATCATAAAAAAATTAGACGCAAAAAGGGGGACTGAAGTGCCTTTACTGAACTGCTCTTACATTGTTGTAGCTCATGTCAGTAGCATGAAAAGCATGTTAATGATTAGCCCTCCCTCATACATCCAAATTTTGAAATTCTGCCATCGCTTGCGGAGTTTTCGCTTGTATTTCAGACTCACGCTTCGCTTGAATTTGCATCTCCTCAAATCTTTGGATGCCCGAAATCTACGGAAATTGCCCATTGTTTTGGCGAGATTGCAGACGAGAGCGATCAGTCTGCGAGCATCTGCATGCCCTTTCCTTTGACGCGTCACAAATCACGCGTAGCCGAACTTTAACTAGCTCTATGCTAACACGGAACTAAAGCGAGCAAACGAAAACTGCAACGCCACATGGTTTCCAAAGAACCATGAGCCCATGAACCACTTCGACAAGTAAATTAGAGTAACTTCTATAGAAAAATGGCATCAAAAGTGACAAGAAAATCAACTAAACCGTCTCGTCTTCTTCTTTCAGAATGTGTATAATTTGGGCACTGTTTTGAAGTCTCCGCAGGAGAGGGTATAGAGGATAGGATTGTTTGGAGGCATACAAATTTTCAGAGCATAATGTCCAGAACAGAGAAGGAAAAAAAAGATCTTTTAAATTATGCTCAACTTTCATAATCACAGTTCTGATCTAATAAGAACGTTCTATATTCAAGTTTGTCAACGTAGTTCGTAGACATATAGTTTTTCTTGTCTAATATACGTCCATAGAATGTTTTACCTTTGCTAACTTTCAGTACTGTAAAAATATTCTCACATATTTTCTGCACGAAACTAAAGCTGCAAGCTGACTTGAAAAACTATGCACTTTGTAATAGTGTCCGAGGAAAAAATCAGTGCTGGCATTCCACAAAAGCAAATGAAGAGGAACATTCGAATCCTAATTTCTCGAATTCTGGTTGCTATGCTATATCTAATAAAATCTATTTTGAATTCAAAGATACTTCTGCAATGAAGCAAAACTTATGCTGATCTAATGTTTCCACAAATAGTTGATTTTCCAGTCCTTTTGCCCAATTTTTCGATTTTGTTTTGAATGTCCTTGAATTATAATGTATCACTTGAGTTTTACGTAGAAAAGTTTATACAGTAAGTTAAACGTAACTTCATTTTTATTTGGTGCGAGACTTTGCGAGAACATTATATGATAGAAGTTGGTGGTCAATCGTATATTACAAAGAGAAAGAAAAAAATTGAATAGGTTGTCCTTGTCGTTTACCTATCCCGCTTGAGCAGTGCCTTAATTAGCCAGTTTGATCTCTAATATTATCAGGTAAGTCTTTACTGGGCAAGTTTTCGAGTTTCTTGCTCAAGAAAAAGGAAGACTCAATAGTGTTCTTTTCTGAAGTAATATTCCCACCTTTGTGTCAATATAGCGTATTTCGATGTCCTTGTTGGAATTGGAATAGCCTGGTTTAACTTTCACGCAGGTAACATTCTTTGTAGAATTCTTTACAGGTGGTTTCGCAGACATGATGCTGTCTGACGAAACGACCAATGAATATGCGGCTGAATTTTCTAGAAAAAAAATACTTGATCGACACGTCTAGCTACGATGACACGACTATGCGGGTGCATTTGAAGCATAAGCTTTGAAAAATCAAAATCAAAGAAACAATTACATGTTCATAGTTCGCCTGAAGAAAAAGTTTATCGAAACTGTTATAGCGGGAGCTTGAAATGATATGACAAGAATTTAGGCAGTTTCATATATTTTTGTAACTTCAAGTAGTTCCGACAGCCTTGACATAAAGCCAAAAGCTGTCGATGATGACGACCGAGAAAACGCTATAAATCTGGAAAGAAGACCAGAAATAAATTCAAAAAAAAACAAAAGCATTTGCTGAGGATGTGAAATCGGGTCATAATGAACAAAATCTTCATTCGAGCAGTCATCAATTACTAGTAAGATATGCTAGCTCATGTATGCAAACCGATTACATGAAAAAGGATAAAGAAATGAAGATTGGAGATAACATCTGGACGATTACTCGTTCAGTAATGTCCGCTTTCAAAAATATGAAGTGGAAGCAAAAGTAAGCCTGTTTATCACTGCCTGATGCAAGCAAAACATAAGTCCACCAGATTTTCAATTTCAAAATCGTTTGTTTTCCATAGAGTTTTCCATAGAACAAAGGACTGTCGTGCATCAGAAAAAAGTTCTCAAAAGCTTTTTCATGAAAAAGTGACGATGAACTTTACTGCAAGAAAAGGGCTGAAAAAGAGGGGCTTCAGCAGTGCTGGGAAGTGTTAACGCCGAGATCGAACCAAAAAAATTGTAAAAAAAAATTAAGATATGGCTGACAAGCTTTACATCTACATTAGCTTTACATCTATTTACATTAGCACTGAATAAAACTTTCAGACAAATCAGGAAGTGCTTTCTCCGAGCATTTTTACAGATAACTACATGATTTTGAATCTGGAAATCCCAGCTTCAAAGTGGACTTGTTGAGGAATAGTGAAAATAACTAATTTTAGAGCTGTTTTCTTTGATTATAGTAACATTAACACTTCTTATTCAGATATTTGTTCTCATAAACACTGACTAACTCATTTAAATGGAAAGGAGTATATAATTTATATTCAAAACGTAAGTGTTGAATCTTTTAGCGGTTAACCTGATGTTCTTAAAAAGTAATGAAGAACTTTATTCAGAGCTGAGATCATAGAAGTTCAGCACGAGTTAGACAGAACTGAAAAAATAGATGATAGATAGGTGAAGCAGATTTCGCCAGCTCATTCCCTTCCTAGGCAGAACTGATGATGAAGATAGCCTTTGACATCAGCAACGGATGTTTGTGTACTATGCGTGTGTGAGTTGTGTTTTCGCTAGGATAGCGGCCAGGAAAACAGACCAGTTAGCAGTCCAGCAGCAACTATAAGATGAATATCCGCAGCGTCTGCCAGAAAAATACGATAGCATATGCCATAAGGAAGTTTTTGGCAAGATATTCAAAATAGGAGATGTAGGAAGTTAGTGGTCCAGCGTGATATGCTAGTACTCAAGAAGACTCTAGACCTCAAAGGACTTTATGAACTCTCTTCAGTCGCAAACAATCTTCAAAACTTTTCCTGTCTGCTGATGGTAACTAAATGTACCTGCCGCTCCTTATGAGAGAGCATCACAATGTCAAGAAAGGATTTGCAAAAAAACACTGTAGATATCTTGAATTCCTGCTTCGTCTTCATTAGCGTTTTTCGTAAGGTTCAATGGTCATTTTATAGCCAAAAATCTGCTTAATCCATAAAAATTGAGTTTATCAAAAAACACTTGATTCTGGTATTATAATTTGGAACTCAGAAATTACAGATCGTAGAGAACCTATGCGGCAGGCTAGTACTGACAATTATCGTTCATTTTCATAGATATGTCAACAAAATCTTCAAAAACTCGGCCAAGAAGGTTTTTATAAAGTCAATAACTGCCAAATTCGTGAAAGCTGTCTTCATCGAGGGCCAACACTGAAAGAGCGAACGAGCAATGACCTAAAAGTTCTCAGGCACAAATTGCGATACTGGGCGTTGTCGGAAGAGCATGCGTTGCGCAATCCCTGTGGAATTTGTAGTCTGAATATCAATTATAAAACGGCACTCGCAAGGCACGACAAGCTCCCCACATTCTTGAGTTCAGTCTGGAAAGATTTACTGGGATCTTGCTACTATGGTTCATGCCTGAGGAAATAGTAAACGCGTAATGATAGGCATCAAATGGATGCCAAAACAGCGAGTGTTGCATAGGGCTTTGAGTCACAATTCTTTGTCCTTGATTTATAGAACATAGACCAAAAAGGATACGCTCACAGAATGCACTTTTACTTATTTATTTATTTATCGGATACACCAAGTTGGGCCAAAGACCAAAAATGAATCACAAATAAACTGTAAACTCATGGCCACAACACAGCACAGCTGAAGAAAGCACCATTTCTGCACCAAGAGGACAGTTGGTAAGGTAACTTTCTAGTATTTTTTGTGGGGAGGTCGGCAGCGAGTTGGTAATGTTACTTTTTACTATTTTTTGTGGGAAGGTGGGCAAAAAGAAGACTCGTGTCCGCACAGTCTTGTTAAATCCTATGAGAAGTTCTGATAAGTTCTGGTCTCCTTGAGCTCACGTGTGAAAGTGCCCACAAATCATTCGTTTGGAAACATCATCTCATACTCATAGTCGTTCAAAGGATGAATGAAGCTACATACTAAACTAAAAAAATAGACTACATAGCAGTTTCTCCCCTATAGAAGAGTGCAAATGGTGACGATGATGCCGTTTGTTGTTCCGTCTAAGCAAGTCTATTGCACGAGGTGTTAGGCTGAGCTGGCTACGAGTGACAACATAGTTTACCTTTCAGATAACATGTGAAGATAATGGGTCCGGGGTGCCGAAAATGCCAGCGAAAAAAATATATGCAGCTGAAATTCTTCCAAAACTTATTTCCGAAAAAAGAATTTCTGCAAAGATTATGTCCAAAAATTTGCAGAGAGAAAAGCTTGTGCACGAAGGAGCACGTAGTTGCTCACTGGCACGCATTGTTATCCATCCGTTCTAACAGCTGATAGGTACTCGATAGCGAAAAAGTAGTAATCCTGACTGCTGTCTGAACAGAATCAGAGATCGACATGCTATCTTCACTATATCAGGGTGATTTGTTGAACGTCCGAGGGATGGGGCTAAAGACTAAAAGCTCGAAGCTGTGGATTATCACAAGCACATGGATTTTAATAACAATTTGTACTTAAATCAAATTATTCAAAATTACGACTGAAATATAGCAAACAACGAATATAGATATATTTTCATCATATCTAGCGCAGAAGAATCGTCCACTAGGAGAACATACTAAGAAATTATTTTTACAGCTTTTCTCCGCATTTTTAGGTAAATGCTCTGGGTCCTTTCTCATTTGAGGAGTCTCGGAGAGTCTAAAAATCAAAAAACCGTCTAGGGGATATAACAACAGAAAGTAGAAGCTACAAACATAGTTCACGGACAAAAATGCTTTTGGCAATCAGCTCTTAGAGGCAAAAAATTGAGTTCTGCGCCCCATTTCGGACAACCACTATATCTACACAGTGTAGTAAGAAATACTATAGAATTTGACTCGCTGGTAACCTATTCATAGTGAGATAGGTGAGCATATCACCTCTAGCACTAGAGATGCTGGCATGCTATACAAAGGTTATCCTTCTTCTTAATTTGTTCTGTCATGTTCGGAATGATCGAAGCTTAAATCGAGTGGCAGCTCGCCATTAACCCATCAGTTTCCTGAAGAATTATTATTGATGTAGGCTCAACTGACAAAGACCTGGTCTTATTTACATTGCCAAAATGATGTGGGCATTGTGGCTACATCCATTAGGAGAAAAATATGGCCAATAGCTCCCTGTTTGTTGTGCTAAACATGAAAAAATCTCTTACTCAAAAAGACTTGACTTATTTGGTGTGCAAGCAAATTCTTCTCATTTGTGAAGCAAAGAATGATCACTCCATAAAGCCTTTGGAAGTATCAGGTTGTCCCATAAGTTCCGTCCGTTTTAATTTTCAACCGCAATAAATCACCAACTTCTTGATCCTAGATAGGTTCCAAGGTACCGTTCGATAGAGCAAATCAAGCTCTACAAGATGGTTATCTCGCTTTTGCATCAGCTCTGATCCGTCTCGAGTTCCAAGGCGAAAACTAAAAAGATCCAACTGCCCGAAAAATTGAGAAAAAATCATAACTTCGTTTGAAAAAATCCTACAAAAATTCTAACTTGCTCGCGTAAACAGTATCCATTTAACACATTTATATACGCCATTGCCGTGTTTTTTCCTTGGCTAGAAATTAAGAAAACGAAGATTTTCATGCTTTTGCCAAAGTGGTGCTGTGATGTCCCTACATAGATAGTTGTATACTACTAGCCTGTAAAAGTGCAAACATAAATTTTCAGCTTTCTACAAGCTTTGGTTCTCGAGAAATATCGAATACAGCTTGCCTTAGTTGGGTGCCTAACGCTAAAATCCATATTTCTCGAAAACTAGTGCCTATAGAGAGCTGAAAATCTATATTTGTACCTCTACAGGCTCGTAGTATACAACTATCTATGTAGGGACAGCACAGCATCGCTTTAACAAAAACATGAAAATCTTCGTTTTCTTGATTTCTAGCCAAGGAAAAAACACGGCAATGGCGTATATAAATGTGTTATATGGATACTGTTTACGCGAGCAAGTTAGAATTTTTGTAGGATTTTTTCAAACGAAGTTATGATTTTTTCTCGATTTTTCGGGCAGTTGAATCTTTTTAGTTTTCGCCTTTAAACTCGAGATGGATCAGAGCTGATGCAAAAGCGAGATAGCCTTCTTGTAGAGCTTGATTTGCTCTATCGAACGGTACCTTAAAACCTATCTAAGAACATGAAATTCATAATTTATTGCGATTGAAATCCAAAACGGACGGAACTTATGGGACAACCTGATAATATTATGAAGTCCAC